TGTGCAGCTCCACTGGCTCCCTGTGCAGCTCCACTGGCTCCCTGTGCAGCTCCACTGGCTCCCTGTGCAGCTCCACTGGCTCCCTGTGCAGCTCCACTGGCTCCCTGTGAAGCTCCTCTGGCTCCCTGGGCAGCTCCTCTGGCTCCCTGTGAAGCTCCTCTGGCTCCCTGGGCAGCTCCTCTGGCTCCCTGTGAAGCTCCTCTGGCTCCCTGTGAAGCTCCTCTGGCTCCCTGTGAAGCTCCACTGGCTCCCTGTGCAGCTCCACTGGCTCCCTGTGAAGCTCCACTGGCTCCCTGTGAAGCTCCACTGGCTCCCTGTGCAGCTCCACTGGCTCCCTGTGCAGCTCCACTGGCTCCCTGTGCAGCTCCACTGGCTCCCTGTGCAGCTCCACTGGCTCTCTGTGCAGCTCATCTGGCTCTCTGTGCAGCTCCACTGGCTCCTTGGGCAGCTCCACTGGCTCTCTGTGCAGCTCCACTGGCTCCCTGTGCAGCTCCACTGGCTCCCTGTGCAGCTCCACTGGCTCCCTGTGCAGCTCCACTGGCTCTCTGTGCAGCTCCACTGGCTCTCTGTGCAGCTCCACTGGCTCCCTGTGCAGCTCCACTGGCTCCCTGTGCAGCTCCACTGGCTCCCTGGGCAGCTCCACTGGCTCCCTGTGCAGCTCCACTGTCTCCCTGTGCAGCTCCACTGGCTCTCTGTGCAGCTCCACTGGCTCCCTGTGCAGCTCCACTGGCTCCCTGTGCAGCTCCACTGTCTCCCTGTGCAGCTCCACTGGCTCTCTGTGCAGCTCCACTGGCTCCCTGTGCAGCTCCACTGGCTCCCTGTGCAGCTCCACTGGCTCCCTGTGCAGCTCCACTGGCTCTCTGTGCAGCTCATCTGGCTCTCTGTGCAGCTCCTCTGGCTCCCTGTGCAGCTCCACTGGCTCTCTGTGCAGCTCCACTGGCTCTCTGTGCAGCTCCACTGGCTCCTTGGGCAGCTCCACTGGCTCTCTGTGCAGCTCCACTGGCTCTCTGTGCAGCTCATCTGGCTCTCTGTGCAGCTCCACTGGCTCCTTGGGCAGCTCCTCGTGCTCACTGTGCAGCTCCTTGGCTCCCTGTGCAGCTCCACTGGCTCCCTGTGCAGCTCCTCTGGCTCCCTGTGCAGCTCCATTGGCTCCTTGGGCAGCTCCTCGTGCTCACTGTGCAGCTCCTCTGGCTCCCTGTGCAGCTCCTCTGGCTCTCTGTGCAGCTCCATTGGCTCCTTGGGCAGCTCCTCGTGCTCACTGTGCAGCTCCTTGGCTCCCTGTGTAGTTCCTCTGGCTCCCTGTGCAGCTCCTGGCTCCATCCTGTCAGCTTTCCATCCTTTGATCCTCAGCATCATGAAACCCTCTCCTCACCCTCAAGAGGTCAAAAGGTCAGTCTTTAAACTCTCGTTTCTAGTCTTTATCTCTAATGCCTCCTTTCTCTGTCATTTAACTGTGAATGAAAACAGTCCTTTCCTGGTAAAGATTCTCAGTAATCAGGTCATAGTCATTCTGAAAAACATTAAAAAACTTTCCACTGGACTTTGTTTCCAAGCTTTGAAGACCTTTTGCTTCCCATCCAGGAAGCTTTCACCACTGGAGAAAGCTTCCTGGATGGTCTCTGATGGCTTCTGGCAAAGAAGGACTAGAGGAGGAAGATGGAGGAACAGCTGGCACAAAACAATGCCAGTTTGGAGGGGTCTGAAGAATATGACCGGCCCCTGATGGACACTGATGGCCCTTGATCACCTCTGATGGCCCCTGATTGCTCCTGTTTTTGGGGTCTGCCTACAGTATGGATTAGGTTGTTCCTGCCCCTCATTATCGGTAAACTGTCAGTACATGCGCTCTCATTTATTAGAAATTATGAAAACTACCACTTTTCACATCTTTATCACTTTTTTATTTTTTACCGTCTGCAACATAAGATCTCAAAGAATGACTGCAGGATCTAAAAACCTCAATATGTCTATTTATTTTGCCTTATTTATCATAAATTCACATGTGAGCCTCCTTCTATTATTTGCACCTGAGCTACCAGTAATTTTCCGACCATGGCTGCATAGAAAGGCTGTTCTATTAAGCTTTTAATGTTAATGTTAATGTTTCTTTAGAAAAAAATCTAATTTCTTCAAAGCATAACTTTAAAAAAGGCAAATCTGACTTTGAGTTATGATCCTAAACTATTTCCAACACATGAAAGAAGTTTTGGCCGATCAGCCGTTTGCTCTGACTGAGGGAATAAAAGCCAATCACTAAACACCTGAGCTGAATGTTGAGTTTGGGTCAGAATCAGAACTTCTACTGAAACCAAAAGGAGAAAAATCAGTAGAGTCAGTTTAGCCAGAATGAGACAGGATGACCTCAAAGTCTGTCTGGATGTGGATAATATCACATCTCCGTTCACATTATAAATGCTGCAGATTTCCAGGTCACCATCTGGACCTCCTGCCCTCTCTCTGCCCTCTGATGGACCCCATCCCAGCTGAGACATAAACAGCTCCTTCAACCATCTGAATGATTATTATGCTGTGGTTAGAATGAGGAACTGTACCAGCTGGGTCAACAGTGGAATTCAATCTAATTTTAATCTGAATTCAATCTGAATTTAATCTAAATTCAATCTGAATTTAATCTGAATCAATGATCTGACTGGAGGAGTTCTGCATCGATTATTCTGTGATTAGAAGTGAGATATGATTCTCTGACACACGACGAGCAAACAACACGACAATTCACCTAAATGAAGTGGTTTCCTGGCCGTGGTCTTGTGCAGCATTGGTCATCAGCTCCACAGAGGTCAGAGGTCAGCAGATCACCAAGCAACAGACTCGTCCTTTGGCAGCTGAATGGTTCAGTTTAAATGCAGACATTTAGAGAAAAGAAATATGTAGAAAAGCTTCTCTTTAAGCAGAGGCGGCGTTTAATTCCCTTTTATCCAGGTGTTATAATGCAGCAACAGCACCCTCTGCTGTCTGGTCTGCGTTACTGATCCATCCTTGGTTTGAACTGGAGATAAAAACCTCTGATCAAGTTTTATAGTTTAAAACATTTGAAAAAATACATGTTTTATCAGCATTTCAAATGTTATTAAGTTTAAAAAAAGATTCTGCTGAGCCGATTACCCAGAACGCATTGCATTATGAGAGAGTGCAAACAATAACTGTCAGGTTCAGGTCAGAAAACGTCGGAGCTCCACTTCCCTCCATCATCTGCTGCGTTCTACTACGGCTCTGACAGTCTGAACCTGGATAACAGCTGGTGAACTCAGGGCCAGTGACGTTCCAGTTCTAAGGGCTGGTGAAGCAGTGGTGGTCCTGTGGGGGTTCTGGTCCAGGGATGGGAGGACAGTCCCAGAACCTGCAGGTCCAGTCTGGTCCCGCTATGCAGCACCAAGGTAAAGACCTTCACCAGCTTCTGCTCTCAGTGAAGCTTCTTTCCAGTAATGTTGGAGGAGAAGGTTTGACTGTCAGTCTGCTGCAGCTCATCTCCATGACCTGCTCTGGGTCAAGGTCAGGACTCCTCCATGCTCTGTGCTCTTCAGCATGGGCGCCGTATGGTGAAGAACGTTAGGACGGTTCTAAGGGCCCTTGACTGAGGGGGGCCCAAAAGAAGAAGATTTGCCCCACTGTATTTTTCAAACATAAAAAGAAAATCCATCAGTAAAATCAATAACGGGCATTTTGCTCCTCCCGGGGCTTAAATGCCATGCCCACCTCATTTGACGTAATGATAACCAAAGAAACAAAATAACTAGAAAATGTGTAAATAAGCAGCAGGGTGCTAAAAATGTCCGTGGCTGAAAAATGCAGCGCCCCAATCAGGAACTAGCTGTGGGTCTAGATTGTGCAACAACGGAGGGACATGAGGGTGAAAAAGAGCGGGGATCCAGGTGGAAAAAGCGTCCCACCTCACTCTTCTAGCTGGTTTATCTTCACCAGTCGTTTGACCAATCAGAGGCCTCCTGTCTGCGGCACTGTCTGCGCTCTCCTACAATTTGGGAGAGGTGCGGCAGAGTGTCAGCGGAAGGGGCGGGGCATATCTGGGTTCACTGCAACACACAAGCAGACCACATTGTTTCTGAGTATAAATCAGCCTTTAGTTACGGTAACAGCTAAACGCTAGAAGGTGTTTAGCAGGATATTTACATGAAATAACTGCCTTTGCTCCTGCATGGCAACAGTTGACCCCCCCAGTGACAGGTGACCAACATTATGTTCAGGGGCCGTTAGCATCAGTACAGAGTCAGTGGGAATTTACCTATTTTCACCATTTGATATATATATATATATATATATATATATATATATATATATATATATATATATATATATATATATATATATATATATATATATATATATATATATATATATATATATACACAAAATAAAGAAATAAAAACATTAATTTTTTAAAGAATAATTATGAACTATAAAATAGCTATAAAATGAAATGTCCTCCAGTAGTTTCTACTGTATCCTGGACGGCTGCAGTGCATTGGGTCGCCTCCAGGATTTAAATCTGTCACTATTAATACACTAGTTAGATTTTTATATTCAAGTTAAAATACAAGCATTTAAAAGAAATCTATAAATCTGGATCATTCTCATGAAGCAGCCTAACGAAAAATACATGTTTTATTGTCATTACACATTTACATGAATGAAAAATAATCTCTCAGGGTATCAAAATAATCTGTCCTTTCATGAGGTTTTTGTGAAACCTAATGGGAATATATTTTCACAATCTTAAACCTATTTTTAATTCATGTGTTCATAGATACAGCTGTGCTTTCTGACTGGATGTAAATTTAAAGTTAATGTCTATTGAACTTTTTTATGTTCTGATATTTTATATTTTCATTAAAGCTGGCGTAATGTTGGTTCGGGGTGAGGCCCCAAGCTCCTGGCGGTCCCCCTGCTGCTCAGTTCAGACCTTCGAACCCCCCTCTGTGCGTCGGAGGGGGCGTGGCCGATGACGTCCCAGTGAGCCAGCTTCAGCTCGGAGTGGGGAGGGGGGTGCATGAAGTTCTGTGATACCTCCGGACTCTGTGCCGCGGATGTTTTAAAGTTTGCTTCCTCCTCGCGGAGCTCCGGGACGCTCTGCAGCTGCAGCTTCGGAGGCAGAGAGCGGATCGAGGAGAGAAGCTGCGGGTCAGAGACAGGTTGGTGCTTTTTGCTGATTCTCTGCAATGCTGGGCTGGGGGAGCGGAGGTCCTGGAGATCCTGGGGATCCTGCAATCAGAACGGGAATCCGCTCATAGACGTTCGGTTAGAAAGAAAGAAGAGGAAGAGTTTACTAAATTTAGTCTGTTGTTCTGCTTCATCAGAGCTCTGCAGCCTGAAACTGGTCTACTGACCCAAAGAACCAGAATTAATCAGAGGATTATTAATTTTTAATATCAGAGAAATAACTGATTGTTAATATATAATATCAGAGGAATAACTGATTGTTAATCTATACTATCAGAGGAATGACTGATTGTTAATCTATAATATCAGAGAAATAACTGATTGTTAATCTATACTATCAGAGGAATAACTGATCCTTAATCTATAATATCAGAGGAATAACTGATTGTTAATCTATACTATCAGAGGAATGACTGATTGTTAATCTATAATATCAGAGGAATGACTGATTGTTAATCTATAATATCAGAGAAATAACTGATTGTTAATCTATACTATCAGAGGAATGACTGATTTCTAATGTATAATCTGAGAGGAATAATAGGTCCCTAATCTATAATATCAGAGGAATAACTGATTTTTAATCTATAATATCAGAAAAATAATTGATTGTTAATCTATAATGTCAGAGAATTAATTTATCCTTAATCTATAATATCAGAGGAATAACTGATTGTTAATCTTTAATATCAGAGGAATTACTGATTTCTAATCTATAATCTGAGAGGAATAATAGGTCCTTAATCTATAATATCAGAGGAATAACTGATTGTTAATCTATACTATCAGAGGAATGACTGATTGTTAATCTATAATATCAGAGAAATAACTGATTGTTAATCTATACTATCAGAGGAATGACTGATTTCTAATGTATAATCTGAGAGGAATAATAGGTCCCTAATCTATAATATCAGAGGAATAACTGATTTTTAATCTATAATATCAGAAAAATAATTGATTGTTAATCTATAATGTCAGAGAATTAATTTATCCTTAATCTATAATATCAGAGGAATAACTGATTGTTAATCTTTAATATCAGAGGAATTACTGATTTCTAATCTATAATCTGAGAGGAATAATAGGTCCTTAATCTATAATATCAGAGGAATAACTGATTGTTAATCTATACTATCAGAGGAATGACTGATTGTTAATCTATAATATCAGAGGAATGACTGATTGTTAATCTATAATATCAGAGAAATAACTGATTGTTAATCTATACTATCAGAGGAATGACTGATTTCTAATGTATAATCTGAGAGGAATAATAGGTCCCTAATCTATAATATCAGAGGAATAACTGATTTTTAATCTATAATATCAGAAAAATAATTGATTGTTAATCTATAATGTCAGAGAATTAATTTATCCTTAATCTATAATATCAGAGGAATAACTGATTGTTAATCTTTAATATCAGAGGAATTACTGATTTCTAATCTATAATCTGAGAGGAATAATAGGTCCTTAATCTATAATATCAGAGGAATAACTGATTGTTAATCTATAATATCAGAAAAATAATTGATTGTTAATCTTTAATATCAGAGGAATTACTAATTTCTAATCTATAATCTAAGAGGAATAATAGGTCCCTAATCCATAATATCAGAGAAATAACATTATTCTAAATGACCGGAAAAGTTCTAAATATGAATTTCTTCATTTGTAAAATCTTTGGTTAAATGTTCAAAGTTTAACGTATATATTGGTCAGTCAACCCGTTCTTTTCTAAAGGAAGTAGGGCTGGATTATGGAAGAAAAAGAAACATTCATGCCTGATACCTGAACCGGCACAGCATGGCCGGGCCGCTGCAGGGACCCACAGCGCCTTCCGTCTCACTCGTCTCCCCTCGTGACACCCGTGTCAAACTTTCACTCAGTCTCTCTGTCTGGATTGAATTGGTTGGAATCAAGCAGATTTACATGAACTGAAATTTGGGGAGTTCAACATTGTTTCAGACATATAAATCTTTTATAAGATGTCCTGTCCTGCAGCTTAGACTTTTAGAAGATACATTTAAAACGTTCTGGAGCAAAAGAACAAACATTTCACTTTTAGTTTTATCATCACATTTTGTTAGTTTCTCCATAATTAAAATCAGCTTTCACTTAATTTCAGTTCATTTTATTTCTATGCTCCAATTCCATTCCTGTCTTCTCAGGTCACTTTATAGATCCAGACTAAGCAGATCCTCCGATCAGATTAAAGGTAGAGAAACCAGCTGATTGCATCCAGTCCCTGACTTTAGCTATAAGAGAGAAACAGGACTTAACACTGAAAAAAAGGCCAAGCTCCAACGTCTATAATCTAAGGTGTTGATGGCAGCAGCACAGCTGATAAAGCTTATAGTTAGAGTGGCTCATGTTATCCCGATCTATCTCTATAGTTATGCTGCTATAGGCTTAGACTGCTGGAGGACATAGGGACCCATTTTTCATTACTCTATCTCTGTTCTCCCACTTTGCACAATCTTTTAGTTCAATCTCTAACATTCTGCTCTCTCTTCTATTTCTCATAGTAGCTTCATCTGGTCTGTTCCTGTTTGGCTGTGACTCCATTAGTTTTACTGTTGGTAAATAAAATCAAAGCATCAGGTTATGTTTATATCACATATTTGAAGGATTTGGAAGAGTCTTAATAAGAAAAAAAACTATTCTAAATTAATGAATTAAAGGTGTTGGTCTGATTTCCTCAACTAATAGTGTTCTACAGAGAGCCAATAACCTAACAGGGTGTGCGGGGAAGCTGGAGTACCCAGAGAGAAGTCAGGCCAGCAGCGGGAGAACAGACTAACTCCATCCAGAAAGATCCCAGGCTGGGATTCAAAGCATTTTAAATGTTACTTATTAGCTGATTAGCTTTTGGGGCTTAGCAAGGCAAAGGTTAGCATGTAACCTTGTTCAGTAGGAGATAAAACAGTTTGTCTTTTCAGACTTTACTCCTTAAAACCTGATTTACTGTTTTTATCAGGAACCTAAAGGAGTGTAGCTAAAATATTTTAGAACTTTATTATTAGATTCGTTTCTCCTGTAGATTCTGTGGAGGTGATATTTGCTATAAGTTAAAGAACAACGAGTTAACTTTTCCTGGAGTCCCTCAGCCTGCCTCTCCCTGTCAGCCTCCAGAGCAGCAGAGCAGACCTTAGCGTATCATTTGCTAAGATCCAGACCTAGATGAGAACAGACTTTAGCGTAGCAGCTTCTATAGAACATTTTCTGGACCTTCCAGCCTGTTCAGCCTTGAAAATCCTCCCAGTGTAATTCTTTGTGTCAGGCTGGAAATATCAGATTCCTCTGATGTGGGGGAGTCAAGGAGTGTGTGTGTCTTCCTGTTTGACCATCTGAGTGAGGACCGTTTTTCCTGAAGCAAAGACCGGTTGCTATAGCAACACCATTTGTCCTGGTCCTCATAAGCTATTTTGCAAACAGTTGGGTTTAGAGCTAAATGTTTAGTTTAGGTTGAGGGTGAGGTCTGCACTTGTTACCTTTAAGGCATAGAAAGGGTTAACACACGGTCCTCACTACATATAGCAGGACAGGGGTGTGTGTGTGTGAGCGTGAAGGGGAGGATGGAGGGAAGTCCTGCCATAACCTGCAGTCCAACTACATCCTCTTCCGTTCTCGTCTTTCTGGTTGTAAAGAATTCCTCCAGTTGGCGCCAAAGTCTCACCAAGGACCCCCCGACACCCCCACCCGCCACGCCCCCAACATCCAGGCCAAAGGTCCTTGATACTGATACAGTAGAGGAAGATACGAGCGGCTGTACGGCTCTGAACGCAGCTTTATTTGCCTGCTGCTGGTTTCCAGGCAGGTGAGGCGGCGGTGAGGAGCGGCCGCCAGGCCTCCTTATTGTTACTGTGGTTACGGGGCCAACAGACCTGCTCCCCTGATTGGACTGAAATGAATTCCATGAAAGATTTCCTCCCAACTGTTCTGCCTCCAGACTGAAGCAGGCTGGGTTACATAGAGCAGCTGGTTGATGTTCACTGAGTGACGTGTCAACAGGTTCCTGTTGATTAAAGTCCTGATCTAATAGAGACCATAAAAGGAATCTGATCATAGGATGGTCTGAGAGGACAGTGGATTCAGCATAACCAGCTCAGATTCCAGGAGAAAACACCCTGCAGAGACATGGATGAGCTGCAAATATAAAAAACACTGCAAGCACATAAATTATGTTAAAAAAACAATCTAGACTTTTGGAAAAAGCTTCCTGGATGGAAATTTGGAAACAAAGTCCTGTGTATTGTTTTTTAAAACTTTTTCAGGACTGTGAGCTGGAGGACTGAGAATCCTCACCGGCATAAAATCAAGGAAAAAAACTGCAAACTAGTTCTGTATGACGGAAGATGTCCATGATAATTTAACTAAGGTTCTGCTCCTGTGGGCGGAGCTAACCTCTCCCCCTAGTGGTGTGGAGGACTTCTGAGCTACTTTCCAGCTTTTCTTACCTCCAAGTCAGCGTTTTATGTCTTTGAGTTTTTATGGCTGTTTTTGTGTTTGCAGAACTTTCATTATTGTCTGCTTGCAGGTAAAGAACAGCATAGCAGACCCACTGAATGAGTGTGTCTGCGAGCAGAAACTCCTTTAGAACATCTGTATGGATTCCTTCAGATGCTCCCCAGGCCACAGTTAAACTGTGCTGGTCGGGCTTGGGTCAGACTGAGCTTTATGACCAGGGGCCCGGGTCGGTTCCGGTCAGGTCGGGTCAGATTCACTGGAAGGAGAGCTGCTGTGTTGGGAATTGGAGCTCAGAAGTCCATTTTACCGTTTTACTGAAGCTGGGTTGATTCTAGCTGGAGATGTTCTTTAGAGGACATTCAAGAACATACATCATCAGAAAGAGCAGGCAGCTCAGCAAATGGGTCAGGGAGAAAGTTCTGGAACCATTTAAAGCAGGTTTGGGTTCTAGAATAATCTGAGCACCATCCTGGAAGAAAGCCAGCAGAGGTCAGTGAGA